ATAGAATCTCAGATTATAAAATTAGTAGCTTACGTTCAAGGGGAGACTGTGACGGGGCAAGTGGGCAAATGCTCAGTGGAACGCTCCCAGCTTTTGATTATAGAGTATATATTATTATGTCTCGTGTCTTATGGGTAGGTTCTATGATGAATATTTTTTTTATTTGCACAAATAAGTACACTGGCAAAAATCATTGTCTGATATGATATATAAATATAAGATATCGGGTCTACCGGTTTATGAAATGTATAAAACAATACGATAAATGTAAAGCGAATCTATTGGAAACAGGGCCGTCTTAGGCTATGTAGGGGGGGGCCTTGGAAACACTGTGTTTGGGTACTCTAAGAATACTAAAAAAAACATCAAGATGTAAATTGTATTATTCGAGACCCCCATCAGGCCGGGGGCCTAGAGTTTAGATGGAACTGACTGGAAAACTATTGATTCCCGGTGTTCTAATTTTATGAATATTTGGCGCTCTATTGTCGCTACGTTACATTTTCTCGCGCTCAATTATCCCAACAAAATTATGTTACACGCTGTTTACACCGTTTATTTAAATATAATAAATAAATATTTTCAATATATTGACAATTATTATAATGCATCCGGCTGTAATTAACGGGAAATTGTACAAAAAAAACCGTATATTGCACACTTAGTGTACACATCTATTTTCATAAATAGTCATCAATTATCATTAGCCATACAGGTTAACAATAACTCCGCAGGTGTTGAGTTCAAAACGCGTTGCTACATCATGTCATACTCGTTTCTACACCATAATAATATGTTTTTAGAATACCTGTATTGTACAATTATTATTGTGATTTAGAATATTGGTAGCGTAGTTATTTTGGTAATAAGTAAATATTGTTTGTAGGTATGACAATAATTGGAATCGTTTGGCTATATTCCGTGAAAAAAACAAAACTTCTCCAAGACTGAACATTACTCGAAATCATTCAATCAAAAGACACAAATTCATATTCCCGTCCGCAAAATGCAAACTGGGCTATTTAGACAGAAAACAGATTCTAAAAAATATACTCTACGGTTTTTAGGTTTATAGTTTATACCTATCAAATTATTTATTCACACGTTCAACAACGACAATAGTTGTTCTCAAAAATGTTTACGTGTGTATATATATATATATACATTTTTTTATTTATGTATATACCTACATATATATATATATACATTTTTTTTGGCGTAAGCACAAGATACTTTTATTAATTTTGATTCGCGTTAATATCGTTTGGAAAACTTTTATTGGTTGTGTAATGCTACCGTGTCAGCAGTTCAAATTATTGGAATATTATCATGTTGTATTTATTCATATCTGTGACTGAACAATTAAATCGCCCACAGTACAGTGCACAGGTCACAATCAGCGTCTTCAATCGAGTGTGAAATAATAAACAAACCGAGAAAACGTTATTGCCTAGTTAAACTAGTCGCTTACAAGTTATATCAGTGACATAATATTTTCTATTTTACATGTAAACAATCTGTATCGTAATGCCATAATATACAATACAAATATCATATTATTATGTATGCACATTAAAATTGTTTTCTTTAAGTTGATTCGAAAATTGTTTTTTTAAATTTGTGGTGGAGAGGAGTATTGTTTTCATGTGTCCTCATTTTATCAGTACCTTGTCTGTGTAGCGCTGGGCTGGGTAACGTGAGAAAAGTGCGCTTTCGAATTTGGCTTTACCTTAATAATCTAACATTTTAGATAAAATAAATGGTAGAATTGAAGAAAAAAAACAGTACAATGAGGTTGGGGCATGTGGAATCTGTACATAGGATACAAATATTAAATATCGATAAAAATGTATGTAAATGCAATAATGGGTTTAAAATTGTATTTTAAGTATTAGAGTTGATCGTCTGTCTATAATAATTTGTTATTGTTGTTACCATCGTAATTAACAGTATTATAAACATATTTTTCTGATACAAGTTGACTGTGTTGTCTTGGAAATATAGCACAGTCAAAGTGTAATCTTAAGTTTTAATTGTTTTTTTTAATAGTAAAAAATATTTTACAGATTTTTAAGAATAATTTTCAGACCATTGATCCCAAAACTACAACTGAAAAAGTGAAAAAATAAAAAAGTTTTTATCCCTTCTAGTGGAAGATATATGATACTTTTTTGGTTTGTCAACATAGATCAATATTCAATAGTATTATTATATTATATCTAAAAAAATACCTTTTAAGATTCGCATCAAAACTAGAAATGCTTATGATTGCCGGCTTTGGTGAAACCAGTAAAAAAAAATGTCTATCTGATAGCAATGCCTTAATTGAAATTTACAAATTTCACAGAACGGACCGTTTATCATAACTAAGTACTAAATTCCTAGAATAAAATTTTTTTTTTCTTTCAAAATACCGTGAATTTTTAATAAAATATGTTTTTTTTTACTGTATTTGAATATTCTCAAAACATCTTTATCATAGTTCATATCTAATAGCTAAGACGTATTACTGATTATGTAGCTTGGAATATTGTGTACAGTGTACATTAATAATACATGTATTATACTGTTGAGTGTTGTACAACAGACATAAATATTATTAATGATCACGGTATGGACTTCAGATAAGTTTATCTTGTGACTTTTTCATTAATGCATTTTTTAAAAAAATATCCTGAATCAATATCAGCATTTTGTTAAACTAACATTTTAATTACACCGTACATATCGTATACGGCATATTAAACAGCTAATTTGCCAAAATTTAAAGTTTAACTATACGATTGATTAACCTAGTAAATATCTTAGAAAATATTTGATTTTTAAAAGTTATTATTTTTTATATTTTCATAATTAATAGTTCGCCAAATTTGCATACATTTTTCAAAAGTATAATCTCATCATGTGTATCTTAAAACAATATGAACAGGCTGATTAAATGGTAAGGTTTACATTTAATTAACTTTTTAAAGGGTGGAGTGTAGTACTATTTTTATCTGTGCGCGTTACTCAACTGAAAAAAATTGTCTGTCCTAAACATTAAACATTAACAACTTTAAAAGTTACGAGATCACATAGTATAAAAACAATGCGAAAAATAAAAATTTTAAAAATTATATCAAATCCGATAAGATATTGAGTGGATCTCTTAAAAAAAAATCATTCTCTATAACAAAATTATCGATAAAAGTTTCAAGATAAAAAAGGTTGCACGGGTCGCAACTCATATGTCCATCGAAAATTGACTGGCCCCAATTCACCGGTCTCTGACATCGTAAACATCACCTCGGGCCGCAATTCACCTGCAGCAATTTAAAGCTGGTTATCGATCAGTCAAAATTTCCAGCAATCATTCGTAATTTAAATGTTAAAATAATGTTTACTCTACCATTAAAAATCTCTAGTTTCAACCCATACGGGAAAGGGCTACATTGTTGGAAAATATACCTAATTTAAAATTTTTCATCAAATTTTTACATCTTTAGGGTAAAACGAAGACTGTGCTAACTGCTAATTTGTATGTGAGGTTTATATTTTATTCATAAACATACACTGTGGTCTGTGTAACTAATTTGTATATTGTATATATGTATACCACGTGGCGGTTGATTAATACAAATTTACACTGGAGGCCTAATATTTCAAACCAAATCCGAGGCCCGATGAAGAGATCCCGCTGATCTTTATCAACTACCTAAGACCAGGACTGGCATTAATTTTAGCATTTTTTAACCTGTAACAGGTAAATTGGAGGAAACGGAAATCGAATAGAACGATCCTATAGAAGTAATTTTTTTCAAAATGACATTTAGTCACAATCTAAAATGTATCCAATAGACACAAATTAAATTCCCAACAATGTTATATTAATATTACAAAATCCTATAGGCATTAGATCTAACTATATTCCCTATTAACAAACCGGTTGATGATTCAATTATTATCAAGAGCAATGAATTGATTCGATTGCGTTTGATGGTTTTGTTTTTCCAGTGAACTCAAGTAAAAAACAGCTCTCATCGAAACATGTGCGTGTGTGTGTTACTACGAATATGCGCCTATGTCTCGGGCCTCGACACCAAATCCTAAACCGACAGCACCGAATGCCGTCCGTCATTCCGGTGCGTGTCCATTGTCGAGTCGATCATAGGTATTTACACATAAGTATTATTTATTATGCGTGTAAAGACATTGGAATCGGTGGTAAAAACTGAAACTAAAACTCGAGCAAACCCCTCGGCCGCCACGGTCAGCAAACATAATATATGCGGCGTGCGTGTAATTTCATTTCGGTCACACTCACAAGTGTCGGGTTTCGCGTGCTTAGCGGGGTAGCAATATCGTTGTAATTTTTATGTATTTCCAAGAGTGTAGTACACGTACATGTAGACCACTGTGGAAATTCTTAATGCCGTGGATACAGGACATTGTCGTTGTAACGGCGGCGGCAGGAGACGAAGAGAAGGGGCGTAAAACGAGAAGGAGCCCCGGAGACGAAGGAGTAGAAAAAACAACAAACGACAACCTGATGTAATGTCGCGAGTAATGGGTTTTATGCGTAGTAACCGGAGTTCCGTTTTGGTCGAGCCGTGTGCGGTTGCTGGTGCCGCCGGTCAACGACGAAGGTGGACCGCCGCCGCACCTGTGCACACCGTCGTCGGCCTGCGGGCGAGCGGGCAGCAGGGGAAGCGACCTCGCCGGTAATTAGTGGACCGGGCAGGATGTGGTCGGAGTCTGGACTCGAGGACCAGGTGCGCGCAGTCACCCTCCCTTCCACGCCGTCATCATCATCACCGCCGCCGTGTTCGGTCCGCACCATGCCGTCGCCCGCGAGCCACACCGCATCGCATCCGTCCACCGTCGTCGCGCGCGCACCCCACCACCTACCGGCCCGCCTACCGTTCAGCCGTTCATTCATAAAAACATCCCTACTACTTTGGATTGGCGGTAGCAGCGGTGAGTGCGTGCGTGCGTGCGTGTCGAAGGCCTCTCCACATTTCTTGAATGGGGAAAACGCGCGCGCGAGGCAACGACGTTCACACACCGACCGCGAACGGCAACCGTCACACTTTGGTGTCACGGGTCACGTTCGTCACTTAGCATCAATTTAGTGAAGTATTAGTGCGGACTTCGTTTTTATAACATCGTAATTTTTTATACTCGTGCGTTTCATACAACCAACATATACCGATTTGTATTATCGTATTATTATTAGTATTGTAACGTAAAATTATTATTTTTTCGCGCAAAACAATTTTTTACGTTCGAACGCGTCGAGTGTTGACGGCATATTTTTATTATGTTTTGTTGTTAACTGTACGATAAGTATACATAAATAAATTCGTAAATCTCTCGTGCGTCATTTTTGCAAGTCGTCGTACATGTCCAACAAGTAAGTGTAACAATTTATTTTCCTTTTTTACCGCGAAACGTTTGCAAAATGTTTTATCTTATTGATCGTTGGTTATTAATAATTGTTTATTCCTATCACAGGTGTTCGCGTTGCTCCCGTCGGACGTACCTACCCTTAGTTTGACGCGTAAAAACAAAATACAAGTAACATTTTTAGGGGGCCGGTGATGCGTGATGGTCGGACCGCGCGCGTTAACGGTGGTGTTTTACGCTGGGGTACTGGCGGCGGCCGCGACGACGGAAACGACAATGACCGCGGCGGAAGCCAAGCCGCCGGCCGAGCTCAAGAGCGACAACAACAACCGACAACAATCATTGACGAGGATAATGTCGGCGGTGGCGGCGTCTGCTGATCAACAAGTACTGCATCAAGAACAATTGTTGTCGCAGCACAGGCGGTTCCGGCACGAGGCTTCTTCCGTACGGGTCCTCTATCAGATCGGGGTAAGTGCCCACATGTGTTTTTTTTATCATTATTATAGAGATATACTCGACTGAAAAATTTTCAAGTAACAATATAATAATACATACATAACAACTTCTTAAAAACATGGAAAATCGTATAGAGAGCCTCGATACCGAAAAGCCTCTTAACGCGTTTATAAATGTTATATATATATATAAATTATAATCCTGGGTGTGTGTTTAATGTGGTATAGTATTAAAAATTGATTACATTTTAAGTACCACTGGAGCGCGCGTTTGAGCCCCGCGGGCAGCATAGATCGCCAACTAGGCGCCTCAACTTTGTCGTGCGCGCGCGGACAGGCGCCACTCCGAGAGATTATACAGACCGATATGTGTGTTTTTTTCTTTCTATTATTATTATTATTGCGCGTGTCCGTATTTGTATGCACGTGTATATATGTACGGCTAAACTAAACCAGATTGGTGGTATAGGCCGCGGCTCGAGGAAGCTGGTTTGACCGGATCCCGTGCATATTACGGATAACAGATACATTGTGATATATAAATATATTTATATATATATGCGTGTGTATAATAATATCTCGAGGGGGGTTCCCCGGGAGCAACGACGGCAATTCCTGTCGGAAATGTAAATTTAATGTGTACGGTTTCCAATATTTTACCCGAGGCTTCATGGAATATTTCATTATTTATACATTTATACGTACATAAAGAATAACAAAATATGATTATACGTATTGGCCGACGTTATTTATTGGCGCTGGTAATTTGCAGATTAAGCGAATAAGTCAGTGGTGGATAATTTACAAAAACAAAAAAAATATAGCTGTAGAATAATATACTTATCACGATTTACGAGTCTATTATTTCAAAAACAATCTCAAATAGTGACACTTGAAAAATCCCCCTTTTTTAAGCGCGTCGTGCAAGCTAAAAACGGAATTGTGACGTTTGTAATCGAATGAGTTTCTCAGAAGTAAAAAGTTAATCCGCATTGATAGCTCCTATAATGGTCTCTAAAGGTTTTCCAGAGGAAAAAACCGTATCTAATCATAAATATACAGGTGCATTTATTGAAAAAGGTCTAAGTTAAAAATATTTTTTATTCTAGTATTCAAGTTCTTATTTTTAATTTTCAAAATGTCATTTTTATTATACAGCTGTACCTGTCCAAAGTTTAAAAGTCCTAGCAGATTTTTTTCTTAAATGTATTTTTCACCAAATAATATACCAATCGCTAAAACCCGCACGGCTTGAATTTTTTTAGAATTCATTTTTTTGTTTTTTTCTAATCTCGGGTCAATTGACAATTAAAGATATTTTCAGTCATCAAAATGCCTCGCTGAACGGTTTTTAAATTATACGAATCACGAAGTAAAACTTTTTATTTACAATACCCGCAAAGAGTTTACTATTGTGCTACTATTATTTGTACACTACATGAACTGCGGTATGTGGTATATCTCGTCTTGGTTGTCGATCAGACTTCCGGTCAAGTTCGGTTGTTGTAAAAAGTACTCGAGTGTCATACGATATTTTGTTTCGTTAAAACTTTAAATCGTCGCGTCGCCGCGGTCGTTAGACACTATTACAATAATAATAGAAATGCTTACTTGTACGTCCCGTTCGAATTTGCTAACACCAGCGCGATTTTCTGGCGCCAGGCGGTTTGTCTCCATTAATTATTATTTACTTTTAACTACTACGTTACACACCTATTATTACTATTATTATTTTTTTATGTATCGTTTTAGTCGAAATTGTTTAACCTTGACCCACCTTGTCGCCGTCGTTGTGGAATTCACAGCGGATAACGAGTTTCGCGATCTGCGCCTTCCACGCGTTGTACAGATTTGTATTATGAATAAGTATCGACAATTATTCTTGGATGTCAAAAAACAAAAAATGTGTACTACTATACACTTTAAAGTAGCTAATACATGTCGTATGATTGTAAAACAAATGTACACAACAAATTTTTATGAAAGTTTGTTTTCGACAAGTGTTCACTTATAATAAGTAGACTGCCAGAAAACCGTTTCAACATGATCGGGTAATATGTAATAAACAAAAAACCTCAATCCCAGTGGCTTGTACCCAAATGGCGGCCGTTCGAAAACGAATTGAAAACGGGAGTCCCGACATGTGCACCCCGAGGGCACGCTGTTTTCGAGTAGGTCCGGTTGATGGCTATATAAACTGTTTTTATAAACGAAGGACTACCGACTACGCGGGCGTTTGTGTTGTTTAGTCCATCGTCACTTTCAGACCTATAATCGAAAACCGTCGAAATAATAATAAATTTAATATTAGTAGTATGTAGCGCGGAAGGTATATTAGAATATACGACGACGCTGGAGGTTTTTGAAAAAAAATACGACTACATAATATTAAAAGCACCGTTCTTGTATTAAAAATTAATAACTAAAAAAACACATAATCCAACTGGAACATTCGAATATTTAATTATAATAATGAAGGGAAAAAACCCGGTAGCAGTCTACCGGTAGGCAGGAGTAAAAAAGAATAATAACATAGTATGGAAACCTAACCTTTTGTTATACGTAGATATTAATGAAAACAAAATAATAATAACAATATTATAATAATACAACTTAAAGCGCGATTGTATAACCTCGAGGCGAATATTTCAAAACCAATAGGAAGATACGCTAAAATTTGTTATGAATACACTTCAACGATATTCAATCAACGCAATGAATTCTATTTGATAATTATCACATTTCCGTTGTGCAGTGTGCTGCTGTAGTACTGAAATAGTTTTTCCCTCCTAGACGGGTTTACATGGTGTACCGTATACACGTAAAAAGTGAACATAATATATATTTTTAATTATTTTGTGCGCGGCACAATAAATGGGTTTAACTCCGGATTCGGGAGGAGGAACTAAGGGGCTTACTTAGGTTCTCCTTAGCCTGCTCGACTTAATTTGTATAATGTGATGCCAATTAATTGATCGCCAACAGTAAGTCAGTTCAAATAAAATATAGAATTAAATATTAATTTTATATATATACACATAATCGCAATGAGCATTGGTGAGATCGTGGAATTTGACAGCATACTTTCGCACAACTGAAGCACGTAAATACATAAATGTATTTTATCATTATACTTATTATTTGCGTGGGATATTCACAGAATACGTAGCAGTTAAATGCATACATACCGAAATATAGGTCGTGTTATAAGAGTTTTTGCTACAATAATATTAACACGTGGACGTGTCCACGTGCTGTGTGCCTGTGACTAATATAGGTACCACTATTATTGTCGTTGTTATTCTAGTCTTCTTCCGGTTCTTTTTATTCTTATTCTATACTACTGCTACTACCCCAAACGCGACCGGAACAGGTTGTGCAATTACAAATAACGCCACTTAATTTCGTAACGCTACCGCCGCGTTTGCATTTCCTGGTGCGGCGGCGAGATCCAGACGAAATCGTACACCTGAATGGCGGCAATTAAAAATAAACTTAACTACCAAATAGTAATAATAATAATAGCAAACCAATAAAAAAATATACAAATAATATACGCATAAATCAATTTCACAACTTTTTTTTTCTCGATCGCCACTTCCTGTACGGTACAAAAAAAAGCACAGTGCGGTACGTCGTCGTGACAGCCGGACAGGTATGTAAAGGTAAAAATAATATTTTTTTTCCACGTGATACATATAGGTATACGGTAAGATAATCGTGATCTATAATAATACTACATATTATATATACGGACACTTCCGGTTCGAATAAAATTGTCTTCCCTCGGTGAGTTCTATATGATTTTTTTATCATTATTATATTTTTATTCCATAATAATAATAATACCGCGTCTCTCTTTCACCGACCACCGTCGATTACGCATTCGCCGCACGGCTTGTCTGCGCATTGCGGTGGCTGTAGAATATAATATATATACGTTATATTATAGTAGCTACTGTGCTGGTCATAAGGGATAATTTTTTTTGTCGTTGTTGTTTTTGTTGTTATTGCTTTTCTCGTCTGCTAATGCGCGACGGCTACCGGTTTTTTCGGTTGTGGTCGGTCTAGAGAGGGTGTTAAAAAAAACAAGAAGATTGTCTCGGACGTGTGGTGTACGGAGAAGGAATAATATTATTATTAGTGTAGCTTTAAAATTACCCGTATATGTATATTATTGTTAAAGCCTCGCGATGATTTTCTAATTTTTTTTTACCGCTGACTTCTATAATATGTAACTAAAACTATACGATGTCTATATATGTATGTATGTAGTATGTACACACATATACTCAGCAGTTTTTATATTATATATTATTGTGGTCACTCACTCGGGATGTACGCGCTATCCGACCGGCCGTTGACGACAGAGAAAGAAAAGAAGGAAGGAAAGAAGGGGAAAAAATCATCGTTCCGGTTAATTTCCCGGCCAAATCTGGTAGAACGGAAGTTAGAGCTGGAAAAAAAACAGAAAAATAAATACATATAAGAATAAAATGCGTTTTATCCTATGGGCATACGCACAGACACGGCGCATTTTTGTCGTCCACGACCGACGACGACGCCCGCCGTCGCGTTGGAGGAATGCGGTTCTAGGATAGGCGCGAGCGATAAGGAACATCCGGTCCTTGCTGCGGATAGGGTCAATGGGTTTTTTTGTGTATAAGGACGAACGGGGCGGAGTGCGGTGTAGTTGCCGTTGTGGTCGCGCCGTCATGAGTTGGCGATCGTGCCGGCCCGCCGTGTGCACCGGTGTTATTATTATTATTATTATTATTGCCAGTGTGAGTTTTTGATCCGCGCTTCCGGTCTGGTCAGAATGCCGGTCCCGGATCCATTACACAAGAGGATAAATACCCCGTCCCTTTCGGCGGAAAGGTCCAGCCGTCGCCTGTTCCGTTTACACACACAAATGCGCGTTAAGACCTCTGTGGCGGGGCCGACTATGCGTACCACACACCCACCGTCTTGGCGGCGGCGCATCCTCGTATGTGTGTATAATACATACAAATT